GGTATTTCAAAATTATAGAAAATTTCTGCAAAAATCACAGGAAATGCCATACCTTTTGGCACCAAATATTGAGTTAAACATATTTAGTCAAATTAAATGCTAAACAGGCTATATCAATAATTATTTGTTATAAAACTGTATTTTATGTATTATTAATAACAATAAATGTTTAGTCTCGTATAGGCAAATTCCTTTATAGGCAACAAATTTTTCTGGCAAATACGAGTTGCTTTTAAAGGACCTTTACTGTAATTTATTGATATTAAATTTTTACATTACATTTATATTTATAAATGCCATTATTTTAAACATTCAATAAAGTTTATTATAATATATTTTATTTAAAGTGATGTTGAAATTTTATACAATATTTATAAATGCTTTTATTTATAAAATAATAACGCGTGTTCAAAAAAATATCCAACGATTTTAAAATTTATTATTTAAAATATAGGTAATATATCAGGATCACAACAAATTTAAATTAAAAATGAAAATATAGGATTTTGTTTTACATAATAAAATTTTTTTATCGAATATACAAACGAGTTGTTAGCCATTGATTTCAAAACCTTGTTCACACAGTAATGACTCAAATGTCTACGTAATCGAGTCCAGGGTGTGACCAAAGATATGATTGTCGGTGCGGTCGAGAGCTTTAGTGTACGGCTCGAAAGACTAGTTCAAATTGGGTGGCAAATAGTTGGACAATATTTTACATTAAATCCCATGCTTTTACCCTCAAAATGCTGTTTATTCCACTAAATTATCCAGTGTAGTTTTTGAGTAATAAATTTTAAACTTTTTGCGCACCTTTTTGAACACGCGGTACTATGCCCAGCTATAATAGTATGAATCAAGAATATTCTTAATTTTTAATGCTGTTCTACTGTATAAGTGTACAAGGTATATAATATTCTGTTTTACTAGTAAACAATAAGCAAGATATTTAAATATTAACCTGTCAATCATAATTTGCTGAGATTTATGCACAAAAATCAATGTCAAAAAAATGTGTTTGTTTGTGAATTTACTTTTTAGAATTTGTGGTTAATTTAATTTTGTGTTTATTTAATGTTTATTATTAGGATAATTAGACAGCAATTAAAAGTTATATCGAAATGTACAAAATAACAAATGTACAAAAGTGTACCTGTGTAGATTTATGAAGTAGTTATGATTCGAGGTACAGGTGTTCTTATCTGTTAGTCTTATGGCAAAAAACTAGACTATTCTATACTTTCTATGAGTTTTATATATGTTTCGAGACTCACACTGAATGCGAAAGTTTTACTTTTTTTAAATAAGTTATTTTATAGTGCATTGGGAATATAGGTGCAAGGTTATACTGGGATGACATGCACTTTTGTTAACCGCTGACTTGTTAACTTGTTTTTCAAGTATTTTATAATTAATATTTTCTTTACGAGTTATACAGTGTTTTAAAAATAAGTAACATATTTGTTAAATGTCTTTTACTGTATAAAAGTGATAAAAATATTAGAATTTTTGTCATATACCGTATACCTGGTCAGTTTAATTTATCAAATAGAATACCGTTGGCTTATTGGGTTCAGTGATCTGTTGGTGGGTTTTCAGTAGTTTAGTGCAAACCACCCGTACGTTACGGTTGCGACGGAATGTCATTAAACTGCATCTCTATAAACAGTTCACTAATACTTTCATTTTTGCCGTTTTGGGTATGAATTGGTTGTGAATTAAATTTAACTTTTGCAAACATTTTTAATTTTGTTTTTTTGTTGATTAATGTTAGCGTCGATTGCGTTCATGATATGGCAAATACATAACGTATGAAATAATTGAGTTATGAATGAGTGGATAATGTGTTGATAATTGCGATGACTTTCTATGACAGCATAAACTGACACAATGTCTGACGGATTGGAAGGAGTTATGGGTAGACGAGGCCTATTGGCACCTCTTGTTCTCAGCGGTTCTCTTAGTCATTATGGTATTGTGGAGGCCCACCAATAATAACCAACGGTTTGTGTCCACAGATATTGTGGGAACTATTGAAGTGATAACGTGTTTGTACTTCAGATACGCTTTCACTCCACTGCTGGACGCGAGCGAAGACGAGGACGACGACAGAGACCAACAAATACCTCACGAGGCGTTCGGTCAGTGTCTCAGACATTGCGGTGTCTTTTGATGTCATTTCTAACTGATTTTGTCTCTGATTTGGTGGACAGACGGCATGAAAATGCGAAACCACGGCAATAATCACATGGAGTCCGGGGATAAGGAGGCCGTCATCAGCAAAGAGACTGAGGATCACCTGAAGTGGATTGAGGCCAACATCCCGACGTCGATGATAGACAACGCGCTGCCGGCGCTCATCGATTCAGACGAGGAGATAATGACCACAAAGTTAGAGATGAGTAAAATGGAGTGAATTTATGGTTTGATATTAAGAGAAGATATTAATGAATGATATTTAATATAATAATACAAATAGAAGTGATTTTTATTTA